GGGGAGGAAGAAGGATGGGACAGAGGAGGAGAAAGAGAATCAAAGTGAGATCACAGACTTCAACATCACACATACATTTCTAAAACAACTTTTACCCTTTTTGGAACCCTCAGCATCATCCTGCTCTTTTTCCTCTGGGCTATGCTCTCTGCCGCAAGAATGAAAAAAATCTGTGATTAGGATATATAGGCAAAATAATGGTGTAAGTAACAAGGTAGGAAATTACATTACGACAATAAAGAACACAGGTAGGTGGCTACTAGCAAAGAGTAGATACGCAAATTCTATGTCATCTGTCTTTATACAAATGGCTTTCATATTCATTTTTGTTACTTTCAAAATTTGTAAGTAAATAAAATACCTATAATTATTTACTCTTATTTAAAAGTATGTTTGTTGAGTAGATGTGATTTACGCTGAAAGCAAGAGAGACAGTAAATCCTCATGCCGCAAGAAAGTGTCGTTAATTTGCTAATAGGCGCTACCACTGTTTATTTCTTATGTATTGAGGCATAATGTTTAAAAATAAATTTTGTCCACATATCATCAGCATATTTATCATCTCTGCCCCCCCAGTTCTCCATCTGCATTGGACATTGCATTTTAGGTTGAGTTAATGAAAAACCCCCCAAAAAAAAAACATTTTTCTTGTGACAGCAACAATACTGATAGCACTCACTTGATGAACTGTTCTTCTGTAGTATCTGGCAGCAGTTTTGCCATTGTCTCAGTCAATTGCGTCTGAAATAGAACAAAGGTTGATCAGCCAAGGGGGGAAAAACTATACCTCCTCTATGATTTGCTTGACTAAATCGGAATTTAATGTGCTACTAGACACAACAAAGCCATTTCAACAATGGCTTTCAGGCCAAAAGTGTAAAAAAAAAAACAGACAAAGAAGACAGATAAAACGAAACACCAAACAAGTACTTTCACACCCAAAAGTTCATGCATATTATTTCACCAGTGCAGGAATTAACATCTTCAAGAGAGTAGTGGGTTTTTTTACCTCTAAGCCCATTGGGAAGACTGTAGAAACACTAACCAAAAGCACAATGCATGCAAGCAGAGCCACAAAAGCAGATTAGAAATAGAGAAGTCTTTGGCCAATTCAAGATTCTTTCCTTTTTTATAGTTTAAAACTTTAAACAGGTTTTTTTTTCACCCTTCCACCATCTCTTAAACACATCTCCAGATTCAATATCTCTTTTTCACGACTCCTTCGCCATGGATCTAGACTGCAATTAACCACTGCAGTATCCATACGATTGTAAATACAGCTGATTGAGTAAATTTTATGCAAAATCAAGCTGCTGATTTCAGCAAAATCACAGCTAACTGCAATATCTGAGCAATGGGGGGGGCGACGACACTGATAAACAAGACTTACTGTCATGACGCTGACGCGATTAAGCTCTTGAGTTCTCTTCTTTTCAAAGTCTTTGATTTTGTTTGTTTCATCTTCCTGTTAAATGGATGCATCAAACTAGCTGTAAAATCAATAACAAGTACTGTGCAGAAAATAGTAATCTATATTTTCAGACAAAGAATCTGTGAGATTTTCAAACTCACAATAACTTCTACACAAGTGAAAGTTGAAAACAAGTACTTCAACATAGGAAAACAAGAGTAAAACATTCCCTTTCAGATCAGAAATGTAAACTTTCTATTTATGCTATATATAATTATGCACTGAGCATGTTTCTCACGCAAAATAAAGTGTTAAAAGATTCGCCTTTTAAAAAAATGTATGAAAAGAACAAAGCTGCATTAAATGCATGAAACAAGTTTACAGTGCACATCATACAATTCGTTTCTCCTACTTTATTGCTCCATGAAAGTAATACAAAAATAGTACACATTGAGAAGGCAGACAAAAAAGGTATAGTCTAGACTAGGTGAGAAAGAACAGAAGGAATCCATTTTTAATTAATTGTTTAGCTGTTAACTTTTGTCTACAATGCAACAACCGGTCACTAAGTACACTTAAGACATGCCATTAATTTGTCAGACCTGATTTATTGAGTTCTTGCCAAAGACGCATTGACTTCTAAAATTACTATATATGTTCTCTTTTCTCTGAGAGTGTTTTTTGCAAAATTAAAAAGTCACTTAAAAAATTAAAAAATGAGCGAGTGAACAGTGCATTTGGACTATTAACAACAACAAAATTTACTCTGATATTGCAAGATAAGTATAATGTCACAACAAGCATCATACCTCCTTAAGTCCATCTACAGCCTCTTTGTGGGCCAGCACTAATGTCTTGGTATCAATGCAGCTGCAGAAACAAAATTATAATAAATATCAATAATAATAACAAAAATATTTTAAAAAACAGAAACACAGTGGTCTCTGCATAAGAATATTCCAGATATGAACCAAGTTGTAAACAGATTGTTTGATAACGATTTTACTTCAGCAAGTGTATGTAAAAAAAATAAACAAGACAATAAAAAACTCAAATTCAGTTTTACAGAGAACAGATCAGATGTCTTATAACAGAACTTACTTCTGGTACATCTGCTGCAATTTACTTTCCTTATCAGCTGCCTTCTTGTTGCCGATCAACTTATTGGATTCCTTGACAAGTTGATCAACCTGTGAATACAAGGTATATTAAATTAAAAAAGAATGATTCAACTTCAACACTGTTCAGGCTTCCACTATCATCATGTATACTTGAGCCCCTAGTGGTCAGGCGGTTCATGAATGTATACTCGCAAAGAATGCCACACAGTTTCAGAACAATAGCTTTAGAACAGGTGATCAATGAGGTGTAAATCTTCAAACAAGAAAAGATAACAAAATCTTAAAAACAGAACATGAGGGGGAAGGGGGGGCGGGAGTCCAAAGGAATTAGTTGTAACACATGACAAATTAGGTCTGGTTCAGGACTTTGTAAAATGGTACTCTATGAGCAGTGCTTGACAGTGTATGATAAGGCCACAAGGGAGACATGGTTGGGAGAAGGATGGACTCGGAGGGGAGAATGGACAGAGAGAGAGAGAGAGAGAGAGAGAGAGAGA